AGGATGAGGTTTGTCTCAACCAATAAATCCATATGGTAATGTTATTTACACAAAAATAAATCATGAGATTTTTTTTTTCAAATGACAGATTAATTTACGAGTTCATTATTCCTCCTTACAAAAATTGTCATGTCATCTGTTTAGATGATTGAAGGCGAATTGATTATAATATAAAATGCATGAAGGTGGAACTGGTCGGCTGGTTATTGAGGACGAGTAATTCTTTCTTGATTCAGTATCCTTTTTAAATCAATGGAAATTCTCTCGAAGCAACTAATAATAAGTAACAATCCATAACTCCCTTCCTTCAAGCTTCTCCCCCCCCCTCCCACCTCCCGATAAATAGAAAAAAAAAGTGAATCATGAGAACCTTATCTCTTAACAGTGACACGTGGATTTCATTTAGGTTGATAATTACGAATTTGATAGCTAATTTCGATCAAACTTATTCTTTTATATCTAGATTTCATTGATAAGAGCTTGTTAACGACGGTGATAAACAGTTTACAGTAAGATTTTCGTTTTAGTGCGCGGATAACGTTATTCGTGACTAATTTAGATTTCTTCGATATTGAAGCTGCTTTTGAGCTGTTTAAGGATTCTATTAACTATCGTATGTGATATTACTTACTACTAACAATATTACATAGGTCACTAAGTATACAGAATAAGCTTGAAACAGATATAATAAATCACTGTTGATAATCCACTCATAAATTCATAATCAGCATCTTCAATAACTTAACTTATGACTGTAAAAAAGTTCAGTAATTAAAAAAAATACTGGCATGAATCCTCAAATTGCGTTTTCATATAGATTTTTCAATTTTTTCTGTAATCGTTTTATTTTAACATCATACATTTAATTCTACAAACAACCTTCCCGTCACAGGTATAATAATGTGTAGTTATTATGAAAATTGTCATTAAATATAAAACAATTATTCGTTGTACATAATCTCTTCGCTTCGAACGTCGATCTCCTATGACCTGATTTTTTTATATCGTCCGCAGCGTTCCTGATGATGTTTTGAAGAATAATTTAATTGTATACATAGCTTAAAAAATAATGTATATGAACCATTACTAGTGCCAATTTTCGGCATGGGCCAAATTTTATATTGCACATCTCCGGAAATGTTAAGTAAAGTATATGAAGGGACATGCCACACCTGATTGAAATATAAATATTTAAAATTAGGATCGATCTTACTGAATTCGCTCGGAAATCAAGGACTCTTATTACTGATCCTGTTTATAACCCTACTAATTTTCAACAACGGTCAATTGAGGTTTTCGGAGATTTGTGAAGCGACGAATATTAAATTTGCACTTCTCCAATTTGGTAATGAGATTAATGTAAGAGGAACCGCTCGGGAGACTGTGCTGGGCAAATCCACTCCTCCTAATTAAATAAATAATTAGGCGAAAAATCAGGCTTAAAAATAATCTTGTGAAAAAATTACCTTCTTGCCCAAACATTGAGTATGAAACCTCTCTTCTCTACTCTAATTTAGTTGAACATAAACAAGACAAAACAAAAAAAACGGGATATCATTAGTAAGTTGACCAATTTGGCAATTTTGAATATTTCGAAATATTTTAAAATATTTCTGTAAATATATGGTATAATAATCTAAAAATAAGTAAAGGTAATAAATTTCGAGGGGAAGTTCGAAGTTTTTTTTCTTTATCATTAATAAAGGTTCGTTATTGAAAATAATTGAAACATGAGTACTAAACATAAGAAGCTATATCAAATTACATATACATAAAGTATGCGCGTGTGTGTATAAATAATATATACCTCAAACGTCTATTTAAAATATCACCACATATTTTTAAAATATGCCTTACTATGCATTATGAATTAAAATATACCTTGCCATCCATTGTGAATTAAAAACACATATAAATTTCTCTTATATTTATATTTATATATATTAACAAACAATATACATAAAATATGTATTACGAAGGAATTTATAACTTACCAAGTACTGTGAATCACTATATGTACTTAAAATATATCTTTAAAATATTATGTATTTATTCAATCATAAATCTCGATTTATGTGGCGTAAAAGATTGATTTTCTTCATGTCTAGATTTTTATTGGAAATGTGCTAATTTTTCGATTTTATTAGAGAAAATGATCTTCACAATAATGGATCTACCATTATTTTTGACGAATTGTTAAGGAAGATATGGCGTACCGGCAGACAAATGCTATTAAGCAATAATATATGGATGGCTATTTTCATAGATGTGCATAAAAAAATGAATGTACAATTTCATAAACATGCAAATGAGCACATTTTATAGTTTGAAACAAATAAAAAAATCTAACGATTGCCCACATCCTGTATTTCTTTATTCACTAAATTTATGGTTGATTATGTACATAACAATTCAAAGACAATTAAATCCGAATTAAGAACAAGAAAAAAGAATGTTGAGCAGAGCTCTTTTACTAAGGCCGTATTTATATCCTTATTCTTAAGTGTTTTATTATGAATTTAATTTTTCTAATATTGTTATCTTATTTTTGAATGAAATTATATGACAAATAATTTAATTGTTTCATCGATGCTTAACCAAAAAATTAAAATTTTAAAACGTAGCAAATTATAATACAATGGTTCATTATTATCAGATGAATTAAATATGTGTGGTTTATCTCCAAACACGACTTTCCTTATCATATAAGCCAGAATCAGGGCGAAGTATGAAAATAATTTTTTAATACACAATTATATATTATTTATAAAATGTGCTTTTTTGTCAGTATTCCTTGTATTTGTTGATCCTTCTTCAAATTCAATTAAGTCTTTATGAATATTATCTTCCTTCGGTAGGGAAATAGTCACATTCCTCTGAAATTTCAGGAAAAAAGAAGAGTTATTTATACATAACTCATAAAAAGTAAACAATTTATGGTATTAATCTATTATTATCGATTATTTGAATGATAATTAAGTCTCTTTCTAAAAAAATTATTGAAATTGATTAAAACTATCCATTTAGATTTTTTTTTTTTTTTAAATATTTATTATAATTTTTTTACGCTTACGTACGATTTATATAATCAAGCCATTATGTACAAAGATACAGCCTGTTAGAATTTGTAAGCATGTTTTGAGGAAGAAAATTAATTCCTTCATAGCAGAGTACATTGCATTAACTTATTTCCATATGATTTTGTCATTCGTTTATTGACTAATATATTGTTCGAATTTTCGCATGGGCCAGCTAGTTTTTTATTGAGCTAGGTAAAATAATGGAGGACGAGAGAAGAGGGAGAGGGAGCACATTGGGGCGTAGGTCTCGGAGTGCCCGGATTTGTAAGTTGTGGATTCGATTCCCACCTGGGTCGGTTACTTTTTATTTTCGGTGGATACGGGAAATGGGTCGTGACATTCCCACTCTGGTAAGTACACGGCGGCAACCTTAAGCTAGCCGTCAGGGGTTGGCGAAAAGGGCCACCATAGGGCCGGGCCGGGCCCATTGAAGAACTAGCTCCTCCTAGCCACCAGTAGCACCATTTTCCAGTTCCAGCACCAGTAATTAAAATAATAAAATAATTCTCAAGCGTGTATTAGGAATCATTCGAGAGATTTAATTTCGTGCTATTAAAAATCAAAGTATAGGAGAATGAAATTCGAAGGGAACATGGCTAAAGAGTTAAAAATCCTCCTATATCTGAAACATATACATCTCAAACAAATATCGATGATATGCAATGAAAACATGGTAATTGAATTTTGATCAATTTTACTTGTAAATTAATATAGCGATACACATGAATATAGTGATACAGATTTGGTTCCTAAAGTTTTTTTTTTATTCATTAATTTGTATGACATGTATGTGGTTCATATAAACTAATGGAGTTCCTCGTTGCCTACCATCGACATAACGAATATGGTTTATGTTATTTTGGTGGTCTTAATGTTCGCTAGAAAATAGTTTTCTATTAAAAGAAGAGTGGTATGTGAAAGATGTGTAATGCACATACCAGATATACTTATATTTATTGTTAGGAACGAACCAAATATACGTTAATACTTTATGGAAGTTTCACTAAAAACGTTACTACTCTTTTAATACAACAATTCATAGAAACACGCGATTTATCTGCGTTAAATCTCAAAACGAAATGGCGGATTTTGATTTATTATTTACAAATAGTTATATATTAATGTATGGCGTGTCCACTCCTATGACTTTATTTACCTCTGCGTGATGAGAGTGCATTATAAAAATTGTTCTCTAATAATGGCCCAATTAATTTTTTTTTCTTTTTGTTAAGCTATTTAAACAGTTAAAATATTTTTCTAATTTTCATTTGGAATACTCCGCTAGATTCGTTTTCTCAAAATATAAAATGAAGGAGATCGGCTTTCGATAGACACGTTTGCAAACTTAAACGCCTCATCTTTACAACACACAATCCGATTTCGAAGAACTTTCACATATCAGGAAAGATAAATTATGTGCAATCAATAATTATTATACGTTTAATGGAAATTTTTATAAATATTACATATTATTACAGATGTGTCAAGATGATTATCTCTAGAAATAAGTTGATACTACAGATACTAATGATTAAATCAAAATGGTAATGTAATTTGGGAATTCTTGTATATTATTTTTTCTTTTATTTGTGATTCTTTTTTTTATTCGGGAATAATGATTGAGAAACATAATTTCAAGTAGTTATTTCGTTAATGTCATTTCAGATTCAATTATATTATAATTGCTGCAGGACACTCACAATTAAACTTTTCTTTTTTCAGTAAAGCATTTTATAATTATTCTATCAGATGAAAATACCTATCGTTGACAAGGTATATTATCCAATGACAGGATGTACCTGTGATTTACTACTAAATAGTTTCCATCGACGAGAGTGGAGGGGATGAAGAGTAGCACTATCCTTGGAGTTGGCTATATAACACAACTCCTCCACCAGGACTGCACAAGTCTTCTTCAAGATGAACGCTGTACTCTGCCTCACCACTCTTCTCGCTGTCATTTACCTCTCTGAGGCCGTGAGTTTAACAATAATTTATAGCTCTGCTAGATCTAAGGGTATAGAGGTCCGTCACTGAGAATATTGAAGCCATACCTGGATATGACAAAGTTTCATTCTATTGGGTTGACAACTAAGTCTTTTCGGTTTTTCAGGGTGTAAACCTAATGTACTATAGAAATAAAATTTATTTTAATCTATAATATATTGACCATTATTTAATATGACTTTTTCCCATATTTCCACTACTGCATAATCTCATGTTAATAGAATGTCTGAAGTTCATTGTTAAAAAATTGATCCAGTGGTTTTTCGTGCCTTCTTCCTTTTGGAATTTCTTTCCATTTATGGAGTTCTGCAAAGACCGGAATAAGTGGTAGTCACTTGGAGTGGTCTGGTGAATAGGGAGGGTAGGGCAAAAGTTCCCATCCAACACTCAATCATTTATTGCGAGTGATCAATGAAGTGTGGGGCCTAGTGTTGTCTTGGTGGAACACAATACAATTCCGATAATTCATAACTGAGTATTCTTTAAATTCGATGTTAATATATCCGTTCAAAATCTCAATCATTGCTGTTCAAATCCTTATGAATGGTTTTTTTTATTTAATGTCAAAATAAGGAATAAATAAACAAAAACTCCTTATAGGTTTTTATTTTTTATCTCCATTTGTAGTTTGTTTACAAAGGTCCTGTTGATGCCATTTTGTCATATCACCCTACATTCCTGCTAAATTTCTTGTAGATAGCTAAAGTCGTATTGAAGATATAACATTTTTTGTGATTTTCGAAAAAAAAAATCATGTGGGGAACCCAAAAATTAAGCCTGGAAACATAGGCGAACTTGTGCACATGGTTTTCTACGATTGTGTGCGACACGTTTAGGGCCCTAGCAATCTCTCGCACTGATTCGGTGGGATTTTGATCAACAGTGGCCTTAAATTTGCTCGTTTCAATTTTATGTGGGCGACCAGACCGTTGTGCATCATTGATGTCAAAATTTCCTGAATGAATATTGGTAAACCAATTTTAACAGGTGCGTTCGGTTAAGGCATCATCGCCATAAACATGCCAATGTTTCTATGAGCTTCTGCAGCATGTTGCTTCTTTTTAAATAATACAACAAAATATGCCGATAATGAATGATATTTTCTTCTATATTCTCACAGTGCAATAGCAAACACAACAAGAGTTAACAGATATATAGTTATCGACATATTACAAACGGGATAAACAACCCACCTTAGGGATTAATTCATCAGATAAGAAATGTATCATAGTGACATAAAAATAAACAGAAAGAACTTATCATTGTCAACCCAATATATAATCCGAAGTGCTCAAGCGATAAAAGAGCTATTCATCTTCATTTACCTTTCCAATATGTTTTTCGTTCATCAAAAACCGTCATAAATAGCATTATTTTAATTTTTACAACCGAAATATGTAATATGTATCCCGTAGCAACCATATCATCTAAAAGATTTTCGGCAAGACTTGCGAAATATCTCAAAAACAGTGTACTTTAGGAATTTAAAACATAGGGTCCAATAGTTCCTTTTGAACTATGTCAGGTCTTGATGTCCGTTAAAATTTTTTTTTAACTTTATCCTGTCTCGATTTATTTGTTTGAAACAATCTCAGTTTTGAAGCATTTGTACTTTTTCAATGACTTTTATTATAGCTGTAGAGAAGCTTTTGCATTTGGCATTATTCACTTCGCCAGGAAATTTTCTTTCGTTTTATATCGTTATCCATCAAAATGCATACCTCCATAGAGCTTGAAAATGGATCTATTCCACCGTACTATATATACGGTATATCTTCATACATACATGATACATGATGTCGTAATGTAGACTCTACGATAAGGATTTAAGCGTTTTATTTTCTTTTATGTTTGAACTCTAAAGAAACATGTCCTTCAGCTCTTAATGTTCTGACTTTTTTTTTTTTTTTGTTTTTTTTATTGGTTCGGTTGAAAAACTTAAATACTTAATAATATATTTCTTAAACACATTTCTTTGTTGATTAATAGTAAATTATATCACATTAAAGGGCATTAATAATAGTAATAGAGTAGCTCATTGACACTCTATGTATAATAATTTTTTATTTTTTTTTAAACACTTTATTGAGAAATATTACAATTTGTCACAGTTAAGGACACTTATAATAGAGTTCAGAGAGTACATTCATACCTTATATACAAAAATATAAATAAATAAAGTAATAACAAATGAATAAGAAAAAAGAACAAAAGAGAAAAGAAAAAAAAAATATATACACATAAGTAAGTAAAAATAGAAATAAAAGTAAAACAAACATCTTAGATAAAACATACCTATATACATTATTTACAATTAGCCAGGTGATCTCCGAACCAATCTTGTCCCCTCCACATGTGGAGGGAAAAGGGAGGCTTAGGAGATCCCTACGCTTCTCCCTCAGCCACTTCACTGGTATTTAAAACCAGCGGAGGATAAGTAAGAGCGCTACAGCCACAGACACTCATGACTTGAGTGGAGAATCTGGCCATTGCTAGAACTCCAAAATATCCATATTTACAAAAGGTCTCGTGGCCAATGCCACTTTAACCTACGAAGGGGATTGTAGGGATGGGTGGTGCTTGATAGGGATTGTACAACGGGATTTGGGTGATGAGAAAGGTTCTGGTGAAATTTAGAAAATTTGTCTGGGATAAGATCAAGAATAAATAGGATATTAAGGTCATTATGCAGGGTTTTATTGGTTTCATAGAAGGGAGCATCGACTATTGTGCGGAGGACTTTAGACTGAAAGGATTGAATGCGTTTGATGTTAGAAAATTTAGCTGTTCCCCATAATTCTAGTCCGTAAGTCCAGATGGGTTTCAGTATTGTCTTGTACATCAGTAATTTGTTTTCACCAGAAAGTTTAGATTTTCTATTCAGTAGTCTATGTAGCTGGCCATATCGTCTGTTAAGTTCCTGTCTTTTAAGTCTAGTATGTGGATTCCATGTTAGTCTGTCTAAGAGAAAGCCAAGATAGCGGACTGTATCTGAGAAAGGAAGCTGAATGGAGTTAAAATAAACTGGTGGGCAGGTATTACGCCGAAGGGTGAATGTAATGTGTTTACATTTAGATTCGTTTATCTTGATGCGCCATTTCTTACACCAGTGTTCAATCAGGAAGAAGTGCCTTTGAAAGTTTGCGGACGCTGGTAGGATCTGAGTTGGAAGAAAGGATATCAGTGTCATCAGCGAAAGTTACCAGGAGGGTCTCGGGATGGACGGGAATATCAACGGTAAAGAGAATGTAAAGGATGGGGCCCAAGACGCTGCCTTGAGGAACGCCAGCCTCAATTGAGTAACAGTCGGAGAATTCGGTGCCACAGCGAACTCGGAAGGAGCGGTCGGAAAGATAGGATCGGAGTACTAGGTTGAAGGACTGTGATAGGTGGATTTTAAGCTTGAAGAGTAATCCGGCGTGCCATACCCGGGCAAAAGCTTGCGCTATGTCCAGAAATGCACCCGAGCAATACTGTTTACTTTCTAGGGTTGAGGATATATGGTCAAAAACTCGGAGTCCTTGTTGGATAGTGGAATGTTGGGAACGAAATCCGAATTGATGAGTAGGAAGGTTATAGGATTCGATTATAGGTAGGATTCGTTTCAGTAGGATCTTTTACAAAAATTTTAGAGAGGATTGGGAGTAGGCTAATTGGTCTAATGTACAATAAGTAAAAATAAATTAAACAGCAAAATAATTATACTAAAACTAAATGTATACAAACAAAAGGAAACTAAACTAATCAAAATAACGACTTATATACAGGCATACTATAATCCGAATTTGATTTTAACATAATTGTTTGAAGTTTTACATCTGAACATTATTTAAAAAAAAAAAAATTGGGGGAAGATGGTCCGTTCGAACGATCTTATCTAATCATTGAATTTAAAGACGAAAACTGGATGGGATATGGCCGTATGCCATTTAAATCAGATTGAATAGATAATATATAATAGATTGAAAGGGTTGGTACCTAAATATATCAATAAGCCCTCTTTATTTATACGCTTACAACCTATGTAAGGTCTCTATCTATCTTCACAAGGCCGCCATTTGGTATTCCAGCTGTATATGCTGGCAGACGTGCATTTTCCTCATCAGGACTGTGGATATGGTCAATTTATAAGGACAAACCTTAGTATGAAATATGACACTTTTTTGCCATGAGATCCAGGACTACAGGATTTGATCAAAGATCACTCCAAGGTTTCTAACAGATGTGTGAAGGTAGATAAGTAACCGATTGAAGTAGATCAAGGGATTATAAAGAAGGGAATTAAGGATATGATTGGATTGGATGGAAATTATTTTTTAAGGTTGTTGATGTTTTGTAAAGTATATATATATATATATATATATATATATATATATATATATATATATATATATTTAAAACAACTCATTTTATTCAAATATTTATTTATTTATTTTTTATTTAAAATTTCATTCCTTCAAATATGAATTCTATTTATTTATATATATATATATATATATATATATATATATATATATATATATATATATATATATATATATATATATATACACTTTAGAATGTCCTCAAATAATATTTAAACAGTTATATATACATTTTTATATATTGGTGTGAGAAAAGACCAATCGGTTGCAGAAAAATATAATATGTCACACGGGCAGATCTACGGGAGGGGGGAGGGGGATTAGCAAAAAAAAAAAGAGTGTCTTTTGTTTAAGATCTTTTCTTTTTCACATGTGATCATCCTTATGTCGAATGTGAGTCCAACAAAACGTAAGCATGCACCTAAAATACACTGACAGGCAAAAAATCCCACCCACTTGATTTTTTCATGTTTTCATCTAAAAATATTTCTGCCACTTGTAAAAAAAGTTGTATTTGTATATAATGCATGGTATTTGTAGATAATACTTAGTATTTATGGAATTTTATAATCTTTTGTACGTTTAATAATCAAAATATGATTGGGTAAGAAAGATTAGAGAAAAAAAAATTGAAAAACGAACCATTATTATTCTAAAAGAAATTAATTACATCATCGTTTAGTAGCGCGTGTTTCTTCCTCTTGCGTTCACTACTTCTTAAAGACGCCTCGGCATACTTTCCACCAGTCGGGAAATGTCCCTTTGCTGGAGGATAGCCCATTCCTCCCGAAGAGCCCTTTCAAGGTCCTGCAGTGTATCAGTAAGTGTTGCACGCGCCCTTATTCATCTTCCGAGGTTATCCCATGAATGCTCAATGGGGTTCAAATCTGGAGGACGTGCTGGCCAGGCTAAAACCACAATATTGTTCTGTTGAAGGAACGTCTGCACTATGCGGGCGACATGTGGGCGTGCATTATCGGGCATTAGAATAGAACGATCGCCGATTTGGTTGAGGATAGGCAACACATGAGGTTCCAAAATCTCATCTACATAGCGGCCGTCAAAGACCCCCCCACGAGCAACAACCAATTCTGTGCGGCGCTCCATTGAAATCCCAGCCCACACCATTAAGGAACCACGTTGGAAAGGTTGGCTCTGGGAAAAATTACAGGCTGCATATCTTTCGTTTCTTCTTCTCCACACCCTTTCACGCCCGTCTGGAGATCAAAGAGCGAATCTTGACTCATCTGTAAAAAGTACAGCACTCCATTCGTCCATAGTCCAATGGCTGTGTTCTCGAGCAAAATCCAGCAGTGTTACTCTGTGAGTTCTGGCAACTCTGGTCCTCTTACTGGACGAAAAGCCATTAATCCATACTCATTTAATCTTCTCCGAGCGGTACGTTCAGAAATGTGCACACCTCGAACTTCTTCGAGCTGATGAATCGCTTGAACAACGATAAGGTGCCTGTTTCTTAAAATTCTCAAAGTCAAAAACCGGTCACCCCGTGGTTCTGTTACCCTAGACCGTCCAGAACCGGGCCTTCTATTGTAAGAACCAGTTTTCCGAAAACGCCTGACGGCGTCTCTTAAAGTTTCATATGGAACTCCGATGGCATTAGCTGCATATCTAATGGAACGTCCATCATCAATAAGTGTCACACCACGCGCAACATCCTCAGCACTAAGAGGCATTTTTTAACTTAATATTGAAAAAATTAAAAGCCGGAGACTAAGAAATGTGCTGCAAGAAACAGCACTGAACTAATGATATTGAATAAACATTTTGATTCCATTGAAAGTAAACATTGGAATCTAGAATCATTTCATTGAATTAAGGATTAAGGGTTATTGTCCTCTATATTAACATTCCTAATTGAAAACAAACAAAAAGATTACATATTTATTCATTAAAAACAATAGACCAATCCAAAGCAGAAATATTTTTAGATGAAAACATGAAAATATCAAGTGGATGGAATTTTTTGCCTGTCAGTGTAATATCATTCTTATAAGGGAACCACACGTCCCGGAATTATGTTTACTTTCATTCATTCATTCATATTAAAATTTCCAATTACATAATATCACTTAGAAACGCATGAACGGTGATGAAAGGGATACTTTAAACCAAAAATACATCAGAGGGTTAAAGAACTGGAAACAAAATGTCTTTTCTATTGAAGTGGTAATGTATCCAGAACAAATTAGGTTTTATGAAGAAAAATGAAGTGACATGCTATAAATGTTATTTTTATCTATTTTCCAAGATAGTATATAATCGTTTTTCCCCAAAATTGGCTGTGATCAGGATGATTTGTCTTCAAATAAGTCCAACAAGTATCTGCACCCCGATGTTGGCTCTGATATTTCTATTTGCTCTGATAGAAAGCTGTGTTTCTGAAGAGCATGATGCGATTATTACGTAACTATATCTAAATCTCATTAATCTATTAATGAGGTTTATTATATTTATAAATTATTTTCTTAAAATATATTTCAAACGGATTGTTCTGATACTAAGGAAAAACTGACAGTACGGAAATAGTACCTCACAGTATCAGGAAACCCGCACAGCGCCGGTGCTCCGCGGGCATTCCACCTTATATCTAAAATAAAATATTACACTAAAAACTTTTTATATAATAGAGGAACATTGAGATAACTGTAATAAATTTATTATAATCAAATTTTAAAAAGTATTATCTAAACTAGCTATAATAGGTCAGGTCCAAGACTAGTTATAACTATCCACCAATTGCTAAATCCAAGTTCAATACATTTCATTGGGTAGAAAATCTTTATTGCGCATACTCCTGAAAGTTTGCCGATATTCAAAACTCATGTTGGGAAACGTCTTCGAAATTTCGAACAGATTTTAAGAATTAAAATTATTCTATAAATTGAACTATCAGCCGCGGTCCAATGGAATTTTTGGATAATTGTAAACTAGAACAGTTACAAGTTAACGAAAGATAATCAAATTGATGAGAAAATTTAAGCAACCAAGTGAGCTATATTTTTCGTCGAAAAAAAGCCCAAAAGAAGAATTTCAATCCCTATAATTTATAATTTAAGATAGGTATATAGATCAATAGTATTCAGTCTAATGTATAATAAAAACTTGTTGGATTAAGATGTTTCAATTATGTATTTTTTTGTTTTCATTTGTTTGAAAATATGTTGAAAATGAAGTGAAAGCTTTCATTTTATAAAAAATGTTAATGGAATTGATTATTGAATTTTCGTTTTTATTTATTTCAGTGCATTAATTCTACCAATAAAAAGCCCTCTGTAATATCTATGAAATTTGAAATATTATGAATATAATAAAAAAACTAATATTCCTTCATAATTACTTTATGTCATTTATTTTTCAGGCATTTTAAACTCTTACAAAAAATAAAATAAAAATGATAAATTAACTATGACTTTATTATTTATCTTGTAACTATAATACAATCTCAGTAATCCAAACTTTGATAGTCAGAATGTTCAAATAATCCGAAATGGTAATAAAAAAAAATGTCAGGGATGACAGTTTAATGCCATGGGTGCACTGCTATAAATATAGTGATATATCGAGAGAGAGAGAGAGAGAGTAATATGAACCTCGCATTAATATAGCAGGATTATTAGAGGCTTTTTCCCAGGTCGGAACAATTTAGGAGGCAGCAAATTTTCATCGATATTGTATTTATAGATTTAATAAAAAAGATTTAATTCTGTTTTTTTATTAATTTGACCTTAATTGAGTCGATAAGATGAGATAGGGCGAGGTGGTCGAGCGGGCTGAAGAAAGTTCATTTGAAAAAATAATAAGGAGTTGGAATCCCGGTGCCGGGGAGAATTTTGACTCTATCAATCCTCCGCCCTAACCCTTTGGACTGGAACCAGGAGAAAGCTCGTATTGCCTAAAAGACAAGGATAGGAAGGACAAAAAGAAAAAGTCGTTGAGTTCATGTAATTTTATGATATGCTGATATTTATTTTCAAATAAATTACCTAAGATATTGTTACAAAACTTTTTTATTTCGAATTCCGCTGCCCTATATTATTACAAAATTGATATATTTTGGGAGAGGCCAGAAGTGAAAGATGGGAGGCAAAACCTCCTGGTCCTAGTTCTATCGAACAGCTTCAAGCAGCAATTAGTTTAGATTATTGAGATTATGATCAGTTACTATATAATAAATATGATTTTTTAAAACTTTGTACTTTATTTGCCCTTCAAACGTAAATAATTGTATTGAAAATAGTTAAACTATACAAATCAACCATAAATCAATTTTCATTTCATTGTACCATAGTTACAGGAGTGTATAACATTTTATTTTAATTTTCCTTATTTAAAACAAAAAATAACACTTATATTTATATAATAATAGCTTCTTATGGTAAATTACATATCATTAATGTTTCAGACCCCCTCTGGATACAATCAGGAATTGATAGCTTCTATAACGGAATGTATGAAGAAGTATGGTCTAGGAAAAGGTGAGGATCAAATCATATAATCCATATTAAATAATTAATTACTTTTTCAGAGTTGATTATTATTATTATTAATCAGTTAAATATTTCCACTGAGTGTACTGTAGAGTGAGACTGAATTAATAAGCCTAAAGCCTTACAATTCAACTCAAGAGCTCGAGTTGAACAAAATCAATAATTTAATTCAGAGGTGCCCAACCTTTTCAAATGTGTGCCAAATCCAAAGGTCAACAATATTGAAACTGCTATCCCCTATAACATTCATAATAATTATTTCTTTATTCAAGTATAATTGCCTTAAAAAAAAAATTTCTCATATTATAAATTGTGCGAATATAGCTATAAAATGAAAATAGTATATGACTAATATTTGTTCCATAAAATGTATCCACTGGGAGAGTAACTTTGTTACCAATATCAAACATGTCAATTCTAATAAACCTTTAACTCCGAGTGCTTGTGTTTCCCTTGTACCAAAATATCATACCTACGACCTTGTTTTATCGAGATTGATATAATTTAACTTAGAATATAATTTTTATTGCTAATATATATGTCCACTAGCCGTCAAGAGTTCGACATATTCCAAAGACCTTATTTTATGGAAATTTGTAGTTTGACAATGTTTTTTTTTTGTTTTTTTTATTTTCATCTCCTCCAAATTTTAATTATTGATTAATTTGAATAATAATCTGTCTTTGTAAATACAGCTCAAAGAATTATGTGTTTCAGACTGATGACTATTGAAGTTATAAGGATTTTATTGCCAACCGTTGATATAATAAGTATGGTTTGAGTCATTTCGATGGTCATAACTTGTTCAATAATGTCTGTTCAAAGTAGAGCAGTAACTAAAGATAGTGTTACATACGCACCATATTTTTTCAGAATGCTATCTTTTGAATTCCATGCAACAGAAATTGTTGATTTTAGTTAAGTATCTAAGATATCATTGTTAAATACTTTTTAGCCCAAAAAATAATGTTTCACCAATCCTGGATGATTTTAAATTGTTTTGATAATGAATTCAGAAGAAATAAAATAACTTTGAAATTATTTCAAATAATATTAAAATGACAGTTGAAAAGTAGGATACGTATTAGACCATGAGCCAATTCCAAAATCAAAGCGTTCCTTAAGTTGGGTACACCAAATTTAAATTAATAGTTAATTCCGCAACTGACAATTTTATAACTATCCACTACGAATCATTTCAAATTATTTTGAAAAGTAAATCATAAGAGTTACAAAACTTTGATTTAATTTCATATTATGTTTAAATGACAGTTGAAAAATAAGTAGATAATTTTCAGTCGTTCCTTTGTTATTGCTACTTAATACTAATTAATACGTTATGAAATATTCACATTTATTTAGTCGAAAATCTATGTATTTATTGCACTTTTAATTTTTAAAATACATGAATAAATCTTAGATTCACTATAATACTAAATGTTAGCTCAAAATATTGCAATACTAATGTATAATAATACTGAAAGAATTTTTTTTTTTGTTTCAATAGATGAAGTTGTTACCGTAATGAAGACTTATACACCTCCTGCAGATAAAGAAAAGGAGGTAAGTTATATTGTTTATTTTTTCTAATGTGTGGTGTTTTATTGGTACACACAATTACATTATAAGGGTAAGAATTAAAAAAACAAAACCTTGTCTTATTAGCATTATATCTTCGGCAATCCTATAAAAATTTTGTTTCAATTTTTAAACAAAAATTTGGTGCTCAGTACTTATTGAAATTGATATATTTAGAAATAAAAATAGAAATAGAAAAATAACTTCATTCCGGAATGAAGTATCTTAAAAAAAACAGCATGTGGACATCTGGCCAGAAGAACTGTTACATTAAGTAAATAGATAGATTAATTTAAATTTTAAAAATAAATAAAACTAAATAAATAAAATAAATGATATATGGACCAGTAAGTTAATCAGAAAAATAGCAATCCAGAAAAAATCAAGAGTTAAGGGAGATGTATGGCTTACCTGATATTTTATTGTTCATCAACACGTAAGAATAGGATTGTTGGTCATGTGGAAAGAATGTCACAGTATCACCTACCAAGAAAGCCTCTATAACAACAGCCAGATGAAAGGAGAATGAAAGGAAGATCCACTTCTCAGATGGCTTGATGACCTGAAGCAGACCTGCGCCAGATGTGAGTGAAGAGTTGGAGAATATATGCAGCTGACAGGAAAGAGTGAAGAAGAATAATGGGGAGGCTATATGTATGAATCTATACATTGTTTTTATACATTCTCCTTTTATACAACTCTTCCACATTAGAGAATTCCTTGAAAATGGCTCATTCCTATAAATAAACTCATCTTTTTATTATAAAATAAAGAAAGGAACAACAAAAACAATTGAGATTTAACTTACTAACAATCAACAACTCTAAGAGTAATGTAAAAATAGAGAACAGTGTCCTGTGTATTTACAATGATCAAAGAGAGGTAACATAGCAAGTGTTGAAAGAGGACGGCTAGATGGAATTTGTTTTTTGGGATAAACACTCTTGAGCCCATCTTTCAAGTTCCTAAATTCACAAAAAAAAAATTAAATATCTTTTATATATTAATATCAAATCCAAGCCTTTAATTATAGAAATGAATTAATACCAATAAAATATTTATATTAAACTAAAAATTCTTTGATGTGTTAACACATCTAAAAGAAGAAATTATCATTGAATATAAACTAATATTTCAATAATAAGAGCATAGAGCATCATAAAATTCTTGCATTACTACTTGTATTACTACTAATGATTATGAATGGTTTAAGTTGATATGAGCTCTAGCAGAACACTAAGGACTTCATTTAGGCTCTGTCGGGCATTCTGAAAAGGATTGCTTATTGCATTAATAACAATTTCTATCATCTCTTAGTACCGTATTGCACTGAGATCCACTAACAGGTCTCTTATTGGTACTTCCGATTTCTCTGAATCTGACTAAAAGCCGGAAGAGCATATCTCTGGGAGATGTCAACTGCATCGATATCTACTTGCCATTACTCTTGACTTCTCATTCTCACAACAATATTCCAATCTTCTCATTCAATTTGACCACTTTTCATCGTTAAACAGAATATTATTGGATTAAGACTGAGAACAGCTGAAAACAACTATTGATTTACACAATGAGTATTCTTCATGTTGACGATTCTTTATTAATATTTTTTTTAAAATATGAGAAGGAATTAGTCGAGGGTGCGGTCAAAAAAAATAAAAAAAATTAAAATTATAAATAATTTTAATTTTTTTAAAATAATGCTATGTTGTTTACTTTGTATGTTTACCAACAAATAAGAAAATCACTAAAAAAAAAAATAAAAAAAAAATATATATAAGCTATTAATTAAAAAGAATTAAATATTCCTATTCATTTTTTACCAGTTTATATGGCATTGTTTGTTTATTATATAAGTGTGTTGAAAATTGCATTGATAAATCTATTCTCTTTTAATATCTTATTTGTACACAAAATAATTATGAAAATAAATATATTTTTTTACTAATAAAAACATATTAGTGGCCTCATATCAAAAATAGACAACTGTCATTTTCAGAAATTGGAGAAAAAGTCAATTTTCATATTATAGATTCAACTCAAACTGTCTGTGATAATTTTCTTTAAGAATGTTCAAGTTGATTCATGAAAAAAAAAAATCCATTTGTTTAAATTGAAACTATATTACAAAAATTGGCTTTTTTCAACTTTTTAAAAATGACAGTTCATCCTCGATATGTGAGGCCACCCATATGATGATTTCTTGATTTTTTCTTCTAGTGTGCAGTTGGCTGTGTCATGGAAAAATTGGGATTTGTAAGTATCATGTATTGCATTTATAAATAAGTTAGAGTATTTTTAATTCAGTATCATCTCAGTTACTGTTGAAATATAAAATGAAACACTTTTTTATTGTTATTTTAAAACAAAAGCCCTACTACTCAGAGGAAATTTAAGTTTTTTTTTGTTTTTTTAATAGGAAACAATAACTAAAATAAAAAAGTATTTTATTTAGATAATTACTGCAGCATGGAAAATTACCAAAACATTTGATCAAATCAAAAGTAGAATTACTTTTAGTTTTAGGAAAGCTTTTAAGTCCTGTTTTTCATAAAATCATGGACTTCCCCATTTTTTTTATTAGCATCCTACTAGACTGCATATTTACTAATTTAAGTTTTAAGTTCATATTAATAAGGTTGAGATTTATTAATGATATTCGTCTCCAATTTTGTAAGAAAAATTATTTGATGTGAAATCCAGTCTCCTTTAAATACAAGTGGTTTATAAAAAAAAAAAAAAAACTAAATTATTACAAGGACAACAGCCCATATGGTTTGAACTAATCCTTTTAACTGACATTTACTTCAAGTCAGATGGATTAGACATTATGCCTTTGGTGTGAGCGTATCCTTACAGAACCAATAGAGACTTTAAAAAGTTAATAGTATGTTTACTATTGACAATTTATTGCATATTTATATACTAGTGTACCAGAAGTATATAGTATATAAATATTTTTATCATGTACATCCTTTTAATCTCCCTTTAAAAAATCAAACGACTTAACTGAATAATTCATAAATAATACAAACATCTTCATCAGTGCAAAGATTAAAATTTGGCACAGGTATTTCTTGAACATTGATAGGGAAAATTAAATATATTTAATTTTATATTTCTTTGACGAGGAGTAAAAATAATGAATAATATTAATTAATTCTCATAGAACATTTTAAGAGTAGTAAATGGAAAAATTATTCCTGACTATTCCATATTATTTTTCTGAATCTTTATAAATAATTTTTACAGAAGTAGATGTTAACTGTCTTCCATGGGTTGTATAAAAAATTAATACAAAAGCATGTAATCATATTTAAATATATAAATCTAATAGAAATTAGAAGTCTATAGTTAACTCTTACTGAATTTTACTTTTCTCAGAGTGCTAGAAAGTTAGTGCTATAAAAGATAACATAACAATAGACATTAATAATAATATTGAAAGCAAATCGAGCAGTTGAGGTAATTAGTGGACCACACTGTCTTCCATGATTTCTCTAAGGTCAAAAATCAAGAAACAATTTATTTTATAGTCAGGGATATTGCTATAAATAGAGACCAGATTTTGGAAGAGTAAAAAAAATTAAAAACGTGCAGCATAGTAGTCAAAATGTGCGAAATTGTGTGGTAACCTGAGAAATAAACTGAGTCTAATTTTAAAATTTACAACGATTAATCTAAATATTTTTACATAAATTTGCAGTAACGTGGAAATCAACTCTCAAGCTATAAGCAATTTTTGTGTTGTCAAAATATTTTTTAAAATAATTTCAATAGTTTAAATGGAAATTCCCAATGATTTCAATAATTGAAACTAAATCTCTCAACAATTTCAATAGCAGCGAAAATAAAGATTCATTTATTTAATAATTATTTAATAAAGAATTATTTATTTGAATTAATTATAAAATCAATAGAATATTTTAATTTTTTAACTTTTGGATTCGAACTTTTTCCTTACTTTTTAGGAATGTAAACTTTTTATAACAATTATTTTTCTATTCAAATACAACATTCTATCGATAAAATCCCATTTTCCTAACTTAAAAGGTCAATTAATTTATAAGTATAATGTGTTACTATATTTCCACAGTTTTAAATTATGTCCTCACAATTTAAATTTTCCAATTCTTTGGGTTTTCAAACCTACAACGTGTTACTACCCTTCTCTCTTGCCCATTATGAGGTTCCTGTATATAGTTCAAGGAATGATTAGTTTATTACTTATAACAATTCATACAATATTAATTATTACAAACCATGATAATCAAATACAATTTTCTTCATAATTTCAGATTAAAGATGTGACAATGATTTGGGACGTTGTAAAGGCAAGCAATCCCGACAGATACGATACACCTGAGAATGTTGAGAAGGCAAACCAAGTGGTGGATGCTTGTGCTAAAAGTATAACCTCTAACAATTTCTTAATAATATAACTGATGCCATTATGTAATCAATGAAATATATAAGTGACAATTATCTCAGATGTGGAAGAAGATTTTAACATGAAATTAAAATTAACAACATTTTAATCACACTAAATTATTGCCTATTTCAGTTGTGTCAGGAAAAGGAACAGATCTCTGTGAACTCGGAGTGAAAGGAATAACATGCCTTCGTGACCAAACAGAGAAGGTAAATATACGTTTGTTTTGATTTTAAGATGTAAAATTAATTACGGCATCTTACATACCAACAGGTGAATATTGTTTGATCTATCACCAACACTTTTTTTTTATCATTTCAAGGTTTCATATTTACAAAAAGTAGTCAATATGATCACATATTTCCAAAAAAAAAAAATTAATTAAAAATATTTAGGTACCATGTCTTTTGGATAGCTTTTACTATTGTGAGATAGATGATATGGGACATATTTTTTGAGAGATAGAGTGGAAATTTTGTTACTATGTTATCATCTAAAACATTAAATTATTTTTGTTCTTGAAATTATACAGTATGTTGAGATTCAATTTGTATTTTGAGGAGATTCGTGCATTTTTCTATCTGTTTGTAAAGCTGAGTTAGTTGTATTTTGGTTGATTTATTAGAGAGAATTCAGTTCAAAAAAACGCCTTGGTTAATTGAGAGATTTGAAGATTAATTGGAGTAAAGTCTCTATTATTGTCAGTAAAACTTTGATTTTCCTAACTAAGCATTTAATCAATGAGTAGAGTTTTTCTATTTATTGGTTCTAATAATTTCTACTTTTTTATTATTGAATGGGAAATAATGTTTTCATATAAATCAAATAAAATTTCCACGAAGAACTGAATTTTCCTTTCAACTTGATAAATAAATGTATTTCATGCATAGAATATTCATAATTCATATAAATTGTCTTAAGTTTGAATTTTCACAGTTTATTAACTTTTTAGAAAACTATTCTCTAGTGAAAGTAGGGAGGTAAGTAAAATTGTGTGAAGCATCTCCCCAGATTTTTAATTAAGTAGAATTTTTATTAGCATATACGGATTAATGTAATTTGATAAATAGTACATTAGTAATAATGGATTCCATTAATAATTTATTGTAATTTGCAGGCTCAGTTGCAGTTCCCACACTTCAGCTTTGAATAAAATCGTAATCAATGATTATACATCTTTACTTTTGCATAGTAAAACATAATAAACTGTTTCAATATCATATTTTATCTTTTACTACTATTTTTTGACTCCTTTATTTCATCAAATAAATCTTATTATAATGATAGTTGATGGTATCTTAAACCTTTTGTCCATTTTCTGTTTTAATATTTTATTTTAGTTACTAAAAGTAAGTCTTGTTTACATATAACTGCACTAATTCACAACCAAGCATTTGTTAGTAACTGGCAATCTAATCTGACTATAGAATCTAAATCTGTCAGAATCACATCTTTTTTTTTTTTTATCTTAATTGATGTTTTGAGATTTTCAAGGTTCAAAATTTAAAAAAAGAAGAAATGATTTATTTATTTATTAGTTCTACAGATTCCTGGCTCACAATAAATTTGCCATCTACCTCGTTATTCAGCAAATATGATATCAAGGAGAAAGATGGAGGATGGTCTGAAAGATGGTTTTCATTTCTTCTACTGTTTCTCACATCAGGTCATTATTAATGCAATAGTTAAGTTTAAAATTACTAGAGATGAAGGGGAAACGATATTAGTTGGTCACTAATGCAGTAAAACTTTCAAATCGTAACTTTTTTTTTTTCCCCCCAAGCCCAGTGTGTGTCTCCGGGAAATGGCTCTGTGACATTCTCACTCTGGTAATTACGCAGGTAAAATCAAGGTAGCCATCAGGAGTTGGCAAAAAGGACCACACTAGACCCATTTGCTGGACCAGTTTTCCCCACCAGTTCCAGTATCAGTATTCCTTTGTACATGGTTCTTAAATTATAACCAGTTTCTGATATTTTTTTTTTTTTTTAAATAGTCTTTTGTTATTTTTGTTTTTTTAAGTAATTTACTAATTTTATTCTTTAAGAATCCGAAGTAGTCAAAATTGCTCAAAGCACTCTTAAAAAATTTTAATTTAGCGACTTTCTTTACCCACATAATGTTTAAACATAGTTCGTTGAACTACGGATTGCTCTTTCTATTTTGCCCCAGAAGGAAATTGCCGAATTCTTTAATACTTTCCCTGGTCTGTACCCATAATTTTTCTATATCTTCACGATCCTACTCTCGACTTCTAACTCGATTTGATTTCTAATTGACGGTATTTTTAATATCTCCAAATTAAAGTTTTTGGGATAAAATTCTTTTTATTTATTTTTTTCCTTTTCCTGGTTAAGTAATTTTCTTTGAAGTGTGGTAATACATAGCTCATCTTCTGGCCCATTCTTAGCTCCACAGCAAGATCTCATCTTAATAATACTTGTCCTTTATTGAGACCTGTCCTTTATTGAGACAGATTGTAATATTTATCAATAAAAAAATATTTATAAAAAAAAAATACTATTCGCCACCTTCGTTATATCCTTATTTTTCAAGTCTTAAATATTTTGATCTCTTGATAGGGTTTTTGAAATGTCAAAGTTTATTAATCTTATCCCCTTACTATGCATATGTTCATGCAAATTTTATTTACCGATTATCGCACAATATATTTCTTTACATCCATGGACACTCCTGTTAGAAATAGTCGTAGAAACTGTTATTTGAGCGGATAGTTTATAATGATTATTTTCGTTTTAACCGCTCCCATATTTGATAAAATAAGACCGTTTCCCTAGAACTCTTGAACGTAAGGATCTCTATACTATGAGAACTCAAATTAAAGCTGATAGAACACACAACAAAGTAGTAAATTCCCACATATATTATTACAGTAAGGCTCGAAATCGGTTTTGTACTAAATATAAGCTCCTGTCATGCTCAAATATCATGAATGGGGCACCGTTGGATTCAAAATTTCACGGGGGTTAGCGAATCGTATTCTCCACTTTTGTTTTTCTTTCTAAAATAAATAAAGTCGATACAAACATTTTGCTAGACTTCAATACTGGAACGGTAGTAAGTCTGTAGATCGATACGAACAAATTGGGCTTGAAGATTCTGATGAGTACGGCAAAACCCGGATAGTTATATCGGGCCTTGCACCGTCCCCCTCTCTCCCTCTCCCCTAAATCGTAAAATGTAACCCTGTTTGGTGGAAAAAAATATTGAAAAATTATCTCTTAAAGTATCATTGTTCTCGTAATTAACACACTTCGGGAGGTCCAAAGCCTTGCTACCACAGTTCTCTGGGTATTACCTCCTTTTAAAATAGCATCAGCTGTTTTAAGGTCTACAGCTGTAAGGCGTCGTGCAGACAATCTTTAATACCCAGAAGAACTTTTAAAAAGGGTTAACAAAAATACTAAAAACGGTTAATAAAATAAAATTAGGTCAACGAGAAATAAACTAAGAAGAAACGAACTAAACTGATGATAGTCCTGTCTTTTGTTTATGTTTGAGAGAGTTAATTTCAAAGTAATTAGCACATTGCCAGTGTTAATAATCAACAGAGGTCACATTAGTAAAATATCGATTCCTCACAATTTTATGAGCATTTAATGCAATAATCCATTTAATTTTCAAATGAGTATGTTTTCTAATATGTTAACCCAATAGTACGGAAGATAATTAAATAATACTTTAGAATGTGGCATTCCTATTAATAGTTGATATAACAAATTAATCATTACATATTAGCCTTGGAAAATGATCTAGGTTTCTATATTTTCCATTTAATTGAAGAGGGGAATCCCGAAAAGAATGTTCATGCTGACAGAAACGGTAATTTTTTATTAAAATAAAAAAACAAAAAAAACTTAATGATATTAAGCCCTCATGACATTGCAATGTATTTTCCACTATTATAATTACCTTTAACCACATAAGGCGTAGATTATAATTTACATTAGGAAATTTTGATTACATAATCAAACTAGCATATCGATTGCCAAGCCCAAGAGAATATAAATCAGAACTTCAATATTTTTTTTTCAGATCTGCTAGATTTAAATAATTATGCCTACTCTTGTTAAATTTTTGTTGCGAGCCCTTACAACACAAATAATAGAATTTTGTTTTATTTAATGTCTTTATTATTTATTACTTGATTGATTATTTATTTCACAGTTACATCTCATGAAATGTAGTCATAAGATTTATTATAGTAATATTTTTAATATATCTATTAAACCCACACATATGGATTATAAGAAATAATAATAGTATTAAAACTAGATCCAGGATTATGTTCGGAAAGGACCGTCGTAACAACATGTAATAGTCGACCTGTACAGATATTTTAGCCGAAACCGATATTTCAAAGGCCGATATACCGATATGTCTACCTGTCGGACCTTCTTTTCTTTCCTTCGAAGTTGGTACAGTTTCACCTGAAATATTCTCCTTATTGCTGCATAAACTGCATCAATCTATCGTCAGCCTTTATACAAATTTTAAATAATACCGATATTTCAAGGCCCATGTCGACTTATGTCGATATTTTACGTACAATTTCACTTAGAATATTTTTCTTACTACTAAATAAATTTGTCAATCATTCGTTCGGGAATCGGACTGTATAGAAATCTTAGCTGAAAGCGATATTACAAAGACCAATCTACCAGCCTTCAGTCCATACTAATTTAAGCTTTAGTTTTGTCGTTGTCCTACCTAAGTGAACTGTCACATATTCAGAACACGCATTGTTCGGAAACCAGAAAAACTGAAGATTAAGAATTCAAGTACCGTAGACTTTCAGCTTAGGTATTAATCTCTCGACCTCTCCCCCTGGTTTGGGAAAAACCTGCCTATCCGAAAAGGCGTGGTAGGGAGAAAAAAAGTTTGGTTGTTTAATATTTACAACTAAAAGAAAAAAAGAAGTATTAATACTATGAAACTTTACAATAAATAAACTATCCAAATTAGTTAACTTACTCAAACTGAGAAATACTACCTTGAGAACTAATGGAATATATTGGTATACGTAGCATAAATATTGCATTTAATAAAGATGTATTTTTTTCTAATGAAAAGAATATTGGTCTGTCGGCTTTTGGTACCGGCCAATACTGAAAAGACTTTTCTGGAATTTTTTTTTCTTTTCTCCCTTGAAGAATTATTTCTAATTTCTATATTTTCCAGTGTGCTGAATTCGAATACATCAGAAGTTCCAAAAATCCTTTTACCATTTTTGAGTGAATGAAGGTTTTTGAAAAAACTGAAATAGTATGTTTATTATTTCCTTTCTTCATTTTCTTTTGAATAATAATAAAATACTTAATCCTAAACATAATATAACTTAATGCATAGTCAATGTGTATAGTTTCAATGTGTAGTCAATAATTAAATAATTTTCAAAACGTTCTATGTAATTTTTAAAAGTTTCTTATTTTGCATTAAAATTATCGAAAGGTAATATTGAATTTAGATTTATACTTCATCAGAAGTTCGCTGGGATTGAAACTGGTGTAATAATGCTTTTTGATTTGCATTAATAACTTCTAAAAATTTTTGAAATTGTTCAGGGTTGCGTCCAGGGTTCATTCGGTGAATACATCCAAACATTGAGGAATGGAGATACGATTAAGTATTTAGGATGTACATTCTCGGGAGAGCTACAATTTAACGAAGATTCGGTGACTAAATTGAATGATAATTTAAACAAGCTGGTAACCTCTTGCTTACTCAAACCTGTGCAGAAACTCAACATTGTCAATCAATATCTGTTCCCGGGTCTTACTTACCCTCTCCAAACTGCGCCCCTAACAAAGCTGCGTCCTGCTATCCTGGAGGGCATCGACATTATGATTCGCAGGAGCGTAAAGGCCATTATTGGACTCCCTGAGAAAATGCTCCAACAAATCCCTCCTCATAACACGTCGTCACCACCGGGTCAAGTTCGAGTTGATGAGGCTCCTTAGGGAAAGGAAATTCACCTGCTTTGACGAGCTATATTGCATCGATAGTGAAGGCTCTACTAGATACGCGGATATCGTCGCATTTCCCAAGACAGGAAGGACAGAGCTGATCTTGGATCCAACTGTCCGCTTTGAGAGCAATGACCTCGATCAGGCGGGTGAAGTGGAAAGGGAA